GATTAATCAAATTGTATCTGAGAGGAATTACTGGCAGGTGATCGACAGGCAAACATAATAATAATGGGATAGGAGGGGGGAAAAACCACATATATATGAAAATGTGTGTATTTGTTTATATATGTAAATACAAGAAGGAAGCAGATGGACTTTGGGCTTCTGCTTAAATCTTACCTCAGTAGAAGAACAGTTTGTTCTAATAATGTGGCAATGTATGCTACCCACGTTCCTGGCATGATCGCTGAAGACAAAATGGTGCATGAGCAAATGTGGTGAAGACAGCTGATGGTGCCTGGCTATCAAAAGATATAGCATCTGAGGTCTTAAAGACTTGTAGTTAACCAAGCAGCCATCTAGCAGGGAAGCAACAAAGCCCACATGGAAGAAGCACACCAGTCTGTGTGATCATGAGGTGTTGATGGGAAGAGGTATCAGAAGTTCAAAAACATGCAACCAAATTGATATGAAAGGGAGTGGATGTAGTGGAAGCCAGCAAGACAATTGGACAGTTCCTCTTAAGGGACTAAGGCCTGAAGAGCCTCACAGAATGAAGGATAAATCCAGCGTGTGGTATGGCACTGATAAACCACATACCTATCCTCTAGTTCTTTAAGATTACCACCCCTTACTATTAAGGCCCTTATGTGAAATACCTAATTAATCATGCTAGATTTGCATAAGTTCATTTGTACATTCAAGATCACTCAGTACATGGTAGTCAAGATAGATGAGCCCTCAGAGACAGTGACAGAATTAAGGGTTCCCTGAGGATATGGGAAATGAGAGGCAGGGGGTGTTGCAGGAGGGAGTTGATCGCATTGATGATTATATAAACCCACCCAGAACTGCATGGGAAGTGAAGAGATATATTGGAATGAGTAAGATATGTCAATAAAATATTATTTAATTGAAAAGAAGAATACTACTTATTTTGTGCTATGAAACCAGAATAAATGTGTTAATAAATATTACCCAAAAAAATACTATAGCCTGGGTCAGGTGTACCTTAGTCCTCAAAGTAACATCCTTGCTTTTCAACATGTTGAAGAGGTCTTGTGCACCAGATTGACCCAATGCAACATGTTTTTTGAGCTCTTGACAGCTGCTTCCGTGAGCATTGATTGTGGATCCAAGCAAGACAAAATCTTTGACGCCTTCAATCTTTTCTCCAGTGAGCATGATGTTAGGGATGGTCCAGCTGTGGGGATTTGGGTCTTGCTGACATTGAGTCATAAACCATACTGAAGGCTGGGATTCCTGATCTTCATCAGCAAATGCTCACTTTCAGCAAGCAAGGTATGTCATCTGGATCTGGAAGGTTGTTAATAAACCTTTCTCCAATCCTGGTGCTGCATTCTTCTTCATAAAAACCAGCTTCTCAGATTATTTGCTTAGCTTATAAAGTGAAAGGATACCACCCTGAAACACATCTTTCCTGATTTTAAAACATATTATCTTGTTTCTTTGCACAACTGACTCTTGGTCCATGTACCAGCTCAGCGTGAGCACAAGGAAGTGTTTTGGAATTCCATTCTTCTCAAGGCTATCCATAGTTTGTTAGGATCTGCACAATTGAATGACTTGGTGTAGTCAAAAAAACAGAAGTAAACTTTTTCTTTTTTTGTATTCTGTTTTGAGCCAAGAGCCTTCTGACATCAGCAATGATATTCTTTGTTCCAGGTCCTCTTCCGAATCTGGCCCGAGCCCCTGGCAGCTCCCTGTAAATGTACCACTGCAACCATTGTTGGGTGATCCTCAGCAAAATTTCACTTGCATGTGATATCAGTAATGTTGTTCTATAATCTGAGCATTCTGTTGGGGCACCTTTCTTTTCAAAGAGTACAAATATGCATCTCTTCCAGTCAATTGGCCAAATCACTGTCTTCCAAATTTCCTGACACAGACTAGTGTTGCTTCTAGAGTTTCATCGGCTTGTTGAAATATTTCAGTAGGGATTCCATCAATTCTTGAAGTCTTGTCCTTGGCTGATGCTTGAACTGCTTCCTTCAGCACCATTGGTTCTTGCTCATATGTTACCTCCTGAACTGGTAGAATGCCAACTCATTCTTTTTGGTACAGTGACTGTGTGTTCATTGTTTTCATCTTCTTTTAATATTTTCTGCACCATTAAATATTTTGTCCAGAGAATCATTCAGCATTGCAACTTGAGGCTGGAATATTTTTCTTGGGCCCTTTCAGTTTAAGATGTGCTGAGTGTATTCTTCCTTTTTGCTTTCTAAATCTAGGTCTCTGTACCTTTCATTACACTGTTTGAGTTTGTCTTCTCAAGCTTCCTTTTGAAATTTTCTGTTCGGCTCTGTGACGGAATCATTTCTTCCATTTGCCTTAGCTACTCTTACAATCAAGGGAAAGTTTCAGAGTCTCTTCACATACCCACTTTGATCTTTCTTTCCTGTTTTTTTTAAATGACCTTTTGCTTTCTTCATAAATAAAGGTCTTGATGTCATCCCACAACTCACCAGTCCTTCTGTCATTAGTGTTCAGTGCAGGAAATCTGTTCTTGAGATGTTCTTAAAATTCAGGTTGCAGTTCGGTTCTCATGGGCTTGTCTGTCAGTTTGTCCTACTGTGGTAGCTTGTGTGTTGCTGGGAGGCTGGAAGCTTTGTCACTGGTGTTTCAGATGCCAGATGGGTCACCCAAAGTGAGCAGGTTTCAGTGCCACTTCAAGACTAAGATCAGACTGTGAAGAAGGAATCGGCTGCCCCCTTCGGAGAAAGTAGCACTGAAAACCTTATGCACATTATAAAGCCAATACTCACCCCCAGTATAAACACAATTTGATTATGACAATAAACTTAAACAAATAAGCAGCAGCAGCTTCATCAGACAGCCTCTACTTCTCCATCAGCTGGTCTTTAAGAGCATGAAAGATGGAGTTTTATATTTGTACTTGAGTTCATAAAGCATTAGTGGTTTAGTGGTAGAATCCTCACTTTCCAATGTGCCCACTTTCCCTCTGTTGGCGGAGCCTTGCATGTTGCTAGGCTGCTAACCAGGTTTCCGCAGAGACTCGCGGTCAATCAGAACTAGGAAGAAAGGTCTGATGATCTATTTCCCAAAGTCAGTGAGTAAAAACTGGATGGATTACAATGGTCCAATCCCTGCCCACTTATCAGGATGATGTGAGGCCCGATACGATTTCATTCTCTTGTACATGGGGCTGCCATGAGCTGGCAGCTGCCAACACCACCACCTGATCCCAGAACCTAGCTTCACCTGATCCAGAACCTAACTTCTGGCTGAGCCTCCATCCCCTGACAGTTAAAGCAGGGAAGCTGATCGTTCTAAGGTGGTTGTGAGGAATAAGTTAGCGAGGCTGTGTATAAAGAATACCAGCCCCCTGTCTGCCTGTTAAGTATCAGGACAGCCAAATTCACTGCCCTCGAATGGATTCCAACTCATAGCACCCCTACCTGTATAGGGTTTCCAAGGCTCTAAACCTTTACAGGAGCAGACAGCCTCACCTTCCTCCCAGTGAGTGACTGGTGGGTTTGAACCACCAATCTTGGGGTTAGCAATCCAACACTTACCTGATGATGCCACCAGGTCTCCTACTCAGTACACTCACATGTGATGATGCATGCCTGGAAACTCACTTAGTACATGTCTCGCGCCTCAACTGTGCAGCTGAACAACACAAGGCGTTTGTTTTCCTCTGTTAAAAAGTGCTTTTCATGTCCTGCTTTTATTTCCTATGTATAATCAGTGGAACTCCAGTGGATTCGGCTGTTTCCACTTTGGAGAAGACAGGTGCTGCAAGACATGAGCACAGCAGGGACTGCTTTTCCAGGGTCGTCATGATTTGGGGGACCCTATTCCGGATCCCTTCCAGGCTATCCAGCCCCTCCTTGGTGGAGAAGGCCATTTTCCTGCTGCTGCTGCTGAGGATATGTAGCGTGATGACGTGTGGGATATTTCACAGGAAGCATTCCTGCCCTTGAAGTGTCCTGTGTTGTTGTGTGCTTCCTGGTGCTGTGGGGTGTGCTCTCCTGCAGAAACCGCTGCTCCTGTGAGCCAAGGTGGGTGTTGTGACTCAACCCCCTGTGTGGTCTCTCCCAGGTAACCAAGATGCTGCCAGAGGAAGCATGCAGGGCAGAAAGAGAGACTCCGGAGAAAACAGAAACCGGAAGTCATACTGAGTCCTGGCTCTGTCTCAGGGCATGTGCAGTCCTTTTCATGCACCAAGGGCACTGGGGACACAACGGTCAAGCACTTGGCTGCTCACTGAAAGGTTGGTGGCAGTTGGAAACCACCCAGGGGGAGAAAGATTTGATGATGGGCTCCCAGAAAGAAGACTCTAGGGTAAGGTGACCAGATTTTAACATTGGTAAAGCAGGACAAAAGCGGGACACCATTGATAAAACTCATATCCTGGCGAAATAGCCACATAACAGCCGAAAACTGTATACCCTAGCTTATCGTGCATTCTTTCCCAAAATCGGGACTTTTAAAAAATTCTGTGGGACATGGGGAAAATTGTTAAAAATCGGGACTGTCCCGCCAAAAGCGGGACGTCTGGTCCCCTTACTCTAGGAGGGTAGTTCCATTCTGTTGCACGGAGCCACTGTGAGTGGAAGTCGTCTCTTTGAATAACAACTCCAAGTTCTTCTTCCCTACAACCCCACTATACGAATCCTCTTTGCAAATGGGCAAACTGTTGCCTGGCGAGGTTAAGTCGGGTTTCCCACGGTCATCTAACTAGTGAGAAGCAGCGCTGAAAGCGGAGATTTGAACCCCTGGGGGTGGGGCGGTCTCGGTTTCTTGAGGAAGTAAATTTGCTGAGAACCCACTGTCCTGCCTACAGGAAGGCTACCTCCGTGGGAGAGACAGGTGCAGTTTCACAGAGCTCCCTAGACTCTTCGCTCCACCTGGGCCCAGCTGAAACAGGTTTGCCCAATGACACAGGTTCGGGTCATAAATGGGCAGACCAGGGACAGTCTTCTCAGCCTCTCAGTCTCTGGAGGTCGGAGGGCGCCGGGAAGCACTCCTGCTACAGAAGTGAGTACCAAGGGCGGGCGGGTGGGCATGTGGTCTTCACTGATGTCCTCTCTTGCTACTCTCCATTGCCATGGCTGCCCAGAGCTCACGGATGAAGCTCATGATTAAAAGGTTTGTTAGTGAAGTTAAGTTGCAACGTCAGTGAGAAATGCTCAGGAGAGTTGTTTATCAGGATATGTGACAAAAGAACATGTTGCACGTTCTTGCGGGTCTGCTAATAAATCCCCAAAGAACATACCACCCTCCTGTAAGCCTCAGCCTGAGGGCATTCAACTCACACTCCCCGGGTCAGCTAGCCCAGCTTCCCCAATCCATGCCCCAAGCACGGGAGGGAAGGTCATCACTCGGCTCCGTGCTCTGGCTCCTGGTTCTGCTGTGGCTTCTCGGATGGTACGGTTGTCTTCTGGAGGATTCTTGGTCCGGAGGACACACCCCATTCCTGGCTCTTACTGGTAATCCCTCCTCTTGTTCTCAGAGGGCTCCTTTTAGACACAGCAGGATGACCCTTGGGGGTGGGGGAGGGGATCGGTTCACAATTACTCACAGGTGAATCCTCTCATTTTCTTCCCCCTCCTTCTTCGCAGACCAGTGTGGGAAAAGGTCTTGGGGGTGATGTAGACTGGCTAGAAAGCTTCATGGAAAAAACAACACCACCCTGTTCCTGCAGAGAGAACAGCGAGAGGAGTGTCTTGGGACCCATGCCTGACAGACCTGACTCTAAAAATACTCAGGGAGGGTCGATGCCCTCGTAACTGGTGCTGTAGAGAGAGGGCTCTGAGAATGTGCTCTGAAGGTGGGGCCTCGGGTCTAGAAAAGCCAAGGCTGGGCACAGGGTATCCGTGTCACTGTGCTGGGACTGAGGCGGTCCCAGGCCTGGGGGGACGGAGAGAGAGCCGTGGACCCAC